GGGGATAAAAAACTCTGAGACTCTAACAATATGTTTAAGAGAAACACATGAGGTTGCTTGGAGGCTTTGATAATTCCTAGGATTAAATATTTGAGTAGCTAAAATGGATAATTTGAAGTAATAAATTAAACAACTAGCATTCTGAATAAAGTTCATCTTAAATATTAATCCAAACTCAGTTGCCTTCCATTTATTTTTTTGCTTATCTTTTCCCACTTCTTTAATTCCTTTGCTATGCATTTTCATATTCAAATGGAAATAGTTGTGCTATTCACCAAAGGCCCAGGAGACTGATTGTAACAGAAACAGTGTCTGGCAACATGTTTTCTCCAAATCCATCTGTTCCTGATATAGTTCAGATTCATTGACCAACTACTGGACATTGCCTCACTTCCAGTTCCATCTATGTTATGATAAATGGCATCTTTTCATGGCAATCCTAACCACATAGCAATTCCCAATATTGACAAACTCTATAATAACTGGTGAGAGAGCATCCAAGCAACACCCAGCAACTGCCACAGTGTTTGCAACAGGATGCTCTGTCTTTGCTGAACTGCTATGGTTCATTTCCAATCACTCTCCTCTGTCTACACTGGTAGCTGTATCCCTGTCCTCTCTCATTTTTATTTAGTGTAGTAGAGTGGACTACATATGTCAAAGGCATGTAACTAGCAGTTCTAGGGAAAGAAAGCAGAGCCATAAAAAATAAGAGAAAATCTTCTGAAAAACAGAAGTGAAAAAACTATCCCTTCTATGGTCTACAATTAGGTATCTAAAAGTCAAAATAAAAAGAATACAAAAAATATTCTTGCCTTTGTGGCCAGCAAGAAGATAAATTGATCCTTATCAAAATACAAAATTCTTTCCATCTTTTAGGAAAATTAGAATTTATAGAATAGAGATATATAGTAAGCTTCATTTTCAGAATACTTTCTGATAGCTGTCATGAGTTTCCATTGGTTTCCTGTAGGACATAACCACAAGCAGCAGTATCAACAGATATTACTCCAGAGAGAAGCATTGCCTGAAGGCTCTGTGTTACTGCTTTGATGCATTTCAAGATGTTTTAAAAGGCACTGTTGTGTGTATGTGTTGGGCGCAGATGTATTCATTTGCCTTGTCTGTGCACGGGAATAAGAATGGCTTTGGTACATTGAAACCACCCTATCCTTCAATGCTAGGAGTGAAAGTGTAAAGGAGTCAATGTGTGAATATTCATATTTCCTGGATTTAGACAGCCAGTGATTATCACTGCCCATAGAAGAACACTATGGAACAAAGAAAAAATAATTATCTTTAAAAAGTGAAGCAAACAAAGGAAAGCTCTTCTACACTTATAAATGCTGCTTTATATCTTGTCCAGTAACTCAAAAGCTTTCTACTTATTCCAATCACCTAAAAGGTATATGAGTGCCTAAAAATGACAAAAGTCGTTGCCATAGGAGATAACGTATTTTCAAACATCAAACATTTAAGCCCATAGATTTGATTCTTTATTAATTGGTCCAGTTAGATATGCAGGGCTGTTTATCAGAGCACGATCAGGAGTGAACACAGAGTATAGACATAAACATCAAGGATGTCCCACTCTAGAGACCTCCTCGATGGCAGAGGAAGCATGCCTTAGCAGAGTTGTAGAAAGTCATATTTGACATTTCCAGCAAATAAGCTGGCAGCTTGCTTTGGTTTTCTGTAGTCAGAGGCCACGGGCATGCCTTTGTTGAGCTATAAGACCCAAATTGAAAACACCAAGAAACTATTGGGATACAAATTTTACATGGAATCCTGTGTGATGTAGAAACATACAGAAGCCTCAGTAATAGATTTGTGCCACAAAGGTATGATTCTCATATTAAAATATGGAGTAAGTATCAGATGTTTGCTGTATGATCATGAACAGGAAAAGAGGTTAACAATGATGGTGGTGTTGGCGTTGGTGATGTTTTTGGTTGTTATGATATAATGATGACGATAGTTATAATAAGAAAAAGATTCCATTCAATTAAAAAAAAAAAAAACAAAATGGCATCCCCTCAAGCCTAGGAGTGGGCAAATCTCTTCATAATGAGTAAATCATATTCTTTATAATATCTAAGCCTGTCATGAAAAGAAATATAGCAAGAACATAAACATCAGAAAAATCTAACTGAACAACATCCTTTAACTTTGAGGTTCCTCATCTATATGAGTGAAGATGTATATAAAAACTTACCTTTAACTAAATGAGAATATGCCTAGCCAATGATAAACTCCTTACTTTCAATGGATACCATCCTTTCAAAACCACTCTGGTTATTGTTACCATAGAACAATTCTGTGCTGTTTGACTAAAACAACAGAAATGATAAACAAAGAAGATAAAGGTCATTTGAAATTCAGATTTCCTGATTCATCCAATTCTCTAGTGTAGGTAATGGAGAATTTTTGATTCAATCATTCAGAATGTGTCTGAATACATCATAAATCTCTGAAGCACAGGGATCCCTTCATATAATCTTCAGAAAACTGCAAACAATATCTGAAAAAAACTGAATACTTCTATTTAAGGGTAAATAAATAGCTACATGTAATCTTTATTGATGAACCTTGCAGCTCTTCCTAAAAAGCAGCATGTGAAAACTAATTTCCTAGTGATAGTAACATATTCATCACAAGTATAGTCAAAACACAACAAATTGAGCAGTGGAATTTGGTTCACATCAATGCTTTTACATAAGTTTAACAAAGATTTAAAAATAAAAAGTTGCATTATGCTTATAATTTTATAGAATTTGCTGTAATCAAAATATGGTTTATTATTCTACTATGTAATTGATTTGAATTCCACTTTCACATTAATATCTTTTGATCTCTTTCTGTGTAAAGATATTTAAGAAGGACATTATTAATAAAGACTATGGGGCTTTTGCAGCTTATTTTCATAGCCAATTTTTTTATTTCCATCACCTTTTAAAATTTAATGAAACACTAGGTATATAACTTACATTGATTCAATTTCCTCCTAGCAGGATGCATATGTGAATCAGCTTCCCATTGCTTGATAAAAGCAAGCTTACAACCAAAATACAGCCAAAGAAGAGTAGGTTTTTATCTTCACTTTTCAATCACATGAGACACTCATGGCTATCTTTCCAAAGTGGTAAGCATGGTCTGAATCACTTTAAGAGTAACCGTATTTGTTTTTAAAATGGATATAAAAGCACTAAAACAAAACAAACAACAATCAACATCAACAGCAGCAAAAAGTCCACAGCTTTGTCTTTGCCTTATTCTATAAGAATCTTACTGTAATTTCCCCAACAGTATAAAGTACACTTTAGCAACAGAAGAGGCAACTAAATTGTAAAACGTTCAGACTGTAATTATCATAGTATTTGTAGCATATGCCTGGTTATCTCAGGGGTTCTGGCTGCCTACCAGACTCAAAGCCATAAAGAATGGACTTACACAATTATAGTGCCAAATGTCTTCCAGTTTTGGGGGTTCCTTCCCTCTGTTGTCTGTATGTCACAGGTCAAACTTTCAAAAAATTGGACTTTTCATGGAATCTTTCTCATTGGGATGACTTGTTTATATAGGACAAATGATTAATTTTGATTCCTATGAATGGTTTGTCAGAGAAATAAAACAAAATAAAACAACAAACACTTGCCCCAAATAAGTCTAGCATATGTGGAAATTCCTACAGACACATGGGTGACTCCTGACTGAACTTGTTAACAATTCTAATCCATATCAGACCACATAAAGACCAAAGACTTGAAACAGATAACCATAAAAATCCGATTGTTGAAATATTTTACAATAACATATTATAGCTGTGTCTGCCATATGTTATGACATAAATGGAGAACCTGACTGGGTATTGAAAACTCAAAAGAAAAAGAGGAGTAAAGAGTTTTCTAATTTATAGTCACAAGAGAAAGTGATGAGATAGCTCCAAAAATAGTTTAGTTTACTCAGTGTATAATTAGTGGCACTATTACTCTTCCATTGTATTGAGCTGATCTTGTAAGTGAGGAACTAAAGGCATACTGTAAAAGCCAGACAACTAGGACCAAGGAAAGGGGATGCAAAACACAAGAGAAGTTTACCCTTCAGCTGTAATCACTTCCTTATAAGAAAGAAAATAGAAAATATACTTTATGATTGGAACCCTTAATAACAGAGAACCTCTATCAAGCATCATTTTCTTTGATATTCTTTTTAAACAAGCGGAAAAGTAAATTATGGAATGTTAGACTCCCGTAGACATGATATATATCATTCAGAGAAAATAAAAATAAATGAATAAACTCATAGAAAGTTAACTGGAAACACAAAATGGCTACTTAATCAAATTCAACAAATTTCAGTTGACTTTTATTTTTCAGGACATTTATGTCAACTTGCCACAAGCTACAGTCATCTAAAAGGAGGGAACTGCTAGTGAAAAAAATGTTTTTATAAGATCCAGATGTAGAAGATTTTCTTAAACAGTGTTGCTGTACTAGAATGGGGGTCCTAGATTCTATAAGAAATCAGCCTGAACCATGAAGAACAAGCCAGTAATTAACACCCATCCATGGCCTTTACATCTGCTCTGTCTTCAGGTTCCTGTCCTTATTCCATTCCTGTCTTGACTTCCTTCAGTGATTGACTATTATGTGGAAGTGTAAGCCAAATAAACCCTTTCCTCTCCAATGGAAATTTCATTTCATCATATCTACACAGATATGTCAGACTGTCTGATTTTACTGGTTGAATTTGAAAGAAGGAATATTATGTGCTGTAATTTTATTGCATAATAACACGGGAAAAACAAATGGGGAAGTACTATTAGCTACAGTGTTAACATAAAATAATTTAATACTTCCCTTTTTGTTTGGTCATATCATTTTATCACAGCAACAGTAACACTAATTAAGACAAACAATATAATATGTATTAAAATGTACAAATTCTCTCTTCTTTCTGAAAATAAAAACGTGGAATACTCCACCTATAACATTTTTTTAGGGGGGAGCATGAACTTAGTGCCTCACTACCACAAATTATGCAGGCGAGTTTTCCACATTTGGGGAAATTGCAGGGGTCAGCATATCTAGAGCACAATGGAGAAGGAACTGCCCTGGGGAAACCATGTTAGTGATCATGGTATTTCACCTTCCGGGTGAGTATCTAAAATAATTCTGAAGCACAACCTATTAGTTGAGCATTTCATCATATCTACACAGATATGTGAGACTGTCTGATTTTACTGGTTGAATTTGAAAGAAGGAATATTATGTGCTGTAATTTTATTGCATAATAACACAGGAAAAACAAATGGGGAAGTACTATTAGCTACAGTGTTAACATAAAATAATTTAATACTTCCCTTTAGAAATTAATAAAATGTTTCTACACAAGTAAAACACTAAAATGCAGTGAGAAATTTTCAAGACACCATTTTTAAAACTGTGTAAAAATAGAGTGATTTTGTTATAATAATTTAAGTCATGAACTGATGGGAAATAATTGCTTAATATAGCTGATAAACTCTTTTGATTACATAGTTAAATGCTAATTATGCAATTCTCCCATTACCTACACAGTTTCTCAACTGCATATTCATGATATAAGGAGCAGAAACATCTCTATTTGCTTGTCTTGTTGAAATGATGCATTTCTCCATTTCATTTTATTACTTGCATTTATCCTGCTTTATTTATTTAATTCCATCTCATTGCAGGGAACTAAAACTCACTGGTTCACTTAGATGTGTGCTTTTGCTTCACATGGGAAAGTTTGCTGGTCATAGCTGTAGATGATAACCAGGAACCCCAAAATAATGACTGCACATGTCTATCCTCATTAACAGATGTTTTATACAGAAAAATAAATGTTTTATGGTTCTTGTCCTTTTTTTTACACTTATTTGTAACACAAAGCTTAAAAGGTTTTATTAAATAAAAAACACAGAGACCTAAGAGGTGAAAGCCTTACATCAGGGAAACGGGGAAAGCCAGCAGCCAACCCCACAAACTCTGCAGTTTCCAAATGCGCAACTTCCTGTCTACCCAGGTTTTATAGACCTTGCTTTTCTGCCTTCGCATTGGCTACCTTAATTCAGCTACCTCACGTCCTATTCCTACACAACTCTGTCACTGTCTGTCTGTCTGTCTGTAAAGACCTCCAGGTCTCTATGTTTGGTACCTGGATTAAAGGTGTGTGTCACCATGCTTGGCTCTGTTTCCTAGTGTAGCCTTGAAAACACAGAGAACCTGCCTGTTAAGGTATTAAGGTCATGTGCTGCGTGACTTATTTGTTTACTTAAAATGGCTGGTCTTTTCCCCCCTGATCATACTACTGAATAAACTGTTGAAATTTGGTTGAATAGGGTGTCTAGGGCTAATGGCTTTTGATAATTACAGGTATTATTACTTATTATTCATAAATTCCATTATTAAATTCATATCTTACTTAATTGGTCACTTAAATGAAAAAGATTGAAGAACTAAATCAAACCAAACAGGGAAAAACATCTTAAACAATGAAAAACGTTATAATGGAAGATTGAAAAAGTTACATTTGTCATGACTAATAAAAGCCCTTACATATCCAAATGACTAAATATTTAGTGGATTAATGGCCACATATTCATGATATACAAACTATCTTACTTTAAAAATATGAATTTCAGAGATAAAAGAGACTATTCATTTCATTTTAATAAGGATATTATTTTAATAGTTCTAGCAATATCAACTTGATAAAAGAGAATACCTGTTTCCTCTTTGCATTTGGCAAAATTCTTTCATGTAGTAAAAATGACGGTGCTGATGGCTGCAATATCAATATAAAGCTAACTTTGTCTGTAGGTAAATACAGCATGTTAAGCATGACAAATATTTTGATGGAGAAGTAGCTTAATAGTTAAGAGCACTTGAAAGGATTCATGTGCAATTACCAATATCCACATGGTGTATCACCACTCTCTGTAATTTTTATTCATGGGGAGCTGATGCACTCATCTGACCACTGCAGGCCCCATGTATGGTATGGTTCACTTTCATGTGTGCAGGCAAACACACACACACACACACACACACACACACACACACACACACACACACACACACACAACGTGTTTTAAAACCTTAAGGACAAGAATGACAAAACCTAGGAAAGCTAGCTAGAGACTAATAAATTTGTTCACAGAAGAATGCACAGGCAAAATAAATCAGTGCCATACACCAATGAATCAACAGCAATGTAAATACCAGAAGGGCAGACTTGGGCAAATGCCATCCAGGTGAGCAACAAAATCCTCTACCATTCTAAATGTTCCTTTCATTTTTCATTTCTCTTTTGTGTGTGTGTGGATATTCTTCTGTGCAAGCACGTGAATTTGACCCCTTCCTCAATGACTGCCCATCTTATTTTTTTTTTAAGATAGTTTTCCTATGTGAACCTCGAGCTTGCTGGTTTAGGTAGGATGACTAATCAAAAAAGGCTGTAGGACTGTTCTGTTTCTATCTCTCCCCAGGGCAGATATAACAGCTATGTGCTACTGTGGGAACTTTCATTTAGGTATTAGATTTGAACTCAAAACCCCACTCTTGCATAGCAAGCCCTGTAAAGAGCTAAGCCATGTCTCCAGTTCTTGTGATTTTCTTTTTAAGAAGTTTTTAAATCCACATAGTTTAAAAACATGTGCAAAAGTACAATTGTGTTTTTTTTATGCTAACCATTTTTTTTCCCAAAATAAATGCTAGAAAATAAAGCTTGAAAGTACAAAAAGCTGAGTTTGAAAAGTCTACACTGATGAGCTCCCTCAGAGGGATCAGAACCAGGTCTATAAATATCTTCAAGGTAACCCTGAGATTAAGGGAAGGACATCATTTATAATGTCATAAGAAAGAAGGACACAGAACAATGCCTGCAGCTAAAGAAAAGGAAAAAAAATGGCTGGTTATTTTAAAAGTTCTTGATACTGAGGTCAACTAGTTTGAGTCAGTAGCAGCAACACAAGCTTTTATGATCAAGTGCAATTTTTTTCAAGGTATGTGGGTTTAGCAAATTAACAACTGGGCCATTCTTAGTACTGCAGAGCCCATTAAGAAAAATGCAAATGCTAGTGAGAACATGCCTCATTCATTCAGCATTTTTGATATAACCCAAAGTGTACAGGGCTATTGAAGTTACCAGGAAGACTGTCTTAAATGTTAATGTCATCTGTGGATAGATTGACTGAGTCAAATATATATACTCCTTGATAATTTTACATATTATTTTGCAGGAAGTTATTTTTTTCTTTTCAGGTTTTCATCTTCAATTTAAATAATGCATCATTAATTGAAATAAAATTGTATCATTTTCCTCTTCCCTTTCCTCACTCAATTCCTCTCACTGACCCTCCTTCCAATCCCTACCATGCCCCTAAACTCTCAAATTGATATTCTCCATTTCTTTAATTATCACTGCTTCATACATGTAAACTTGAGTAGGAGTAAGTAAACTAAATTTTAGTAAATAAACTAAATTTTAATTTATTTTATTTGATAAGCCAAATGGAAATGGTGTAAAAATGAGGGGAGGTAGTGATCCCATCTTTCTCACAGCTGCAGGTCTGGGCATGGGTAAGATGTAAGGGAAAACGGGGGATGCATTTCTTGAAGCATTTCTTAATCCTTTCGGAGAAGCAATATATGTGACGAAGTATAGTATATTCATTTTTTTTGTTGTTTGTTTTTCATTCAGCAAATATCTACTGAGTGCTCGTCAGTTGCTGACACTGAGGGGATACGATACCACTGAGGTGACAGGGCCCCAAACTATCCACGGTAGCCAAAATGACCTTTCAATTAATTTTTTATCATTACCATATAGCAGAACTATGGCGGGTTGCAAACTGAATTGAATTGAATGGAGGCATCCACATACTGTCTCCTGTCGTGCATAGTTGAAAAATACTGAGGACAGTTTAAAGTACACTAAGCTAGGTTGCTTAAAGCATCTTTAGGAATTAGTGACAACATATCTGTGGCTGGAGATCATTTACCTGAAGCACATACAACATGCTACTTTCAAAATAATAATTCACACCTTATTTTATATATATGTATGTATGTATGTATGTATATATATATAGTTAGTTAGAGCCTTTCATTGCTATGAAAGTTATTAAATAAATAACATAAATTAAATAACATAATTTTCAATATGTAATATTTATTAACTTTTGAAAAGTTAGCATCTCTACTTGAAATGCTAATTTGGCAGAAACTTATTTTTAAAAGTTATTTCTTTTCATTTATAATGCAAATCATCATAGTTCCTTTCCCTTTCCTAACTCTAAGTATTCCTATATATCTCTCCTTGCTCTCTTTCAAATTATCTTTCTTCATTAATAGTTGTTACTCACATACAATTATGCATATGTATATACAGTTTTATAAATACATAAACATAACCTGCTACTTTGTATAATGTTGCTTGTGTGTATGTTTTTAGGTCTGAATATTTTGTATTGGACAAAAAATTGATGTGCTTTTCCCTGGGCAAAATTATTTCTCCCATCCTCAGCATTTCTTGGTCGTCTATAGTTCGTGGTGTATGGTTGAGACCTTAATGGGCTTTCCCTATCCGTGTTAGCATGCTTATTATTGTTGCCCTTATTCAGCTCACGTTTAGTCAGTAATGTTGAGATTATAAAATGTATATTCTGACACTCTTAGGAGACACAATTTCACAAACTCCCTGTTTTTCTGGCCCTTACAATCTTTCCACACAGTCTTCGACAATAATCCCTGAGCCTTGGTTGTTGGAGGTATATTGAAGATGTATCCTTTGGGACTGAGCTCTACAACTCTGTATTTTGATTGGTTCTGGTTTTCTGTCATCTGATGCAAAATGATGATTCCTTGATAAAGGGTAAGGACTACACTTGTTTGTTAGTATGAGGATAAATATTTAGAATGTAGAGATTGTGCTGGTTTAGCAAACTGTTGTAGGTTTTCCTCTCCGTGATCTCACTAGCCCCAGGTAGTAGGCAAGTTTTACAGCATCAGGTATACTTTCCCTCTTGTTGAATGGGTCTGAAGTCTAATTAGAGAGCAGTCTGTTACTCCCAAGGTATGTGTGTCACTACAGCACCTTTAGGTTATTGTGTCATGCTGGTCATTGATGCTGTTCAT